AGAACAGGATCCGTCAGCACCAAAGCCGCTGAACCAACTGCTTGTCAGCGTGTTCCGTCCTTAGAAAGGCGGGCATCCACGGGTTTCGCATGCAGGATATGACAGGACGCTGGCTGACTGGGTCAGAGTACGGACAATGTAAGCAAAGGGGCGCGTCAACGTCAGGCGGTCCGGTGGCTGCTTCTCCTGAGCAGTAGCGCTTACCTGATCCCGTTGATGCGCGCCTTTGATGCGCCCCTGCGTGATACTCGGTGCTAGATTAGGTTACCGCAGCTCGATCCTGTCTTGGACTCAACTTTAGTCGGTAAGCGAATGCTTAATTGCAGAATACATAAGTAGTTGACAGATACGACGAATACAGCGATATGGACTACTGTCCCCCCGAGCTGGTGCTCAACATCGCAAGCTACGCTTGCGTCGACGGTGGAAAAACAGGGTGCTCGCTCTCGCTCGTTTCCCGCTACATACGAGGTGCTACTGCTCGCGCCCGCTATCAGTCAGTCGCGCTCTTTGACCCTGATGGCCTTCTCTCGTTCGCAAACCTCGTCACAGAGCGCCATGTTGAGGTTCCACCTCTTCATCTTTTCGTCTCGCTCGAGGATTTCAATTTCAAGGAGCAAGATGGCGGAGGAAGGGCCGAAAATGCACTGGCGTTGGTCCTGTTGCATGTCTCGCCGACTCTGCGAGCCCTCACTATACACTGTATTAACGCCAACACAGTGGCCTTAACTCTTGCTAAGCAGAGCATCGCCTTCCTCGAGCTCACAGACCTCTCAATTTCCGACTTCTTTCTGCCCAGCTCCATCTCGATCATTAAAGGACGCTTCCCGTCTCTCCGTAGGCTTCACGTCTCCCACGACACAATGAGGTTTAAGAGTGTCAAGTTCTTTGAAGCACTTGCGTCAACTCTGCCAACGATCACGCACCTCAGGTTCGCTTGGTACGACCAGGACGGGGACTTCGCGGCGCTGCTATGCGAGATCTTGCGAGATCCTGCATCCGAGGATAATAATCAAGAAACAGGACTACAATACGTGTTCCCGCCATGGTCAGACATAGCTATTGAAGCCCGGAAGGTCGCGGAGACGCTGGAAAAGCTGAAGGTCATCATTGTGCAACTCGCGATGCTGACACCAGATACGCTGGCTGCTCCAGGGGTCACTCATGAAGCAATGGAGACCAGCTTGGAGAACGTTGCCAGAGAGGACAGAAGTGGCCTTGGAAGAGGCCAATTCATCCTCTTACCGGCATCACCGGAGGCGAGAAACTACTATACGGTGCAGGAAGCGAAGAAGGACTGGCTGGATCTAGTTGGCGGGGGAGATGGTCCTTGGTCTCTTCCAGAGACCTCTGGAGATGTTAGGAGCGCTCTGCATATTTGATGTAGGATGTAAACATCGCACAATCTGTAGAAAGTAAGATATTTGGGTGGTAGTGGTTGCGAACCAGTCGCGTCCTTGTGCTCGACGCGTTTGGCCCCCGCACGCGGGATGCCGTTCTCTGCGTTCCTATCACGCGCCGCGTGGAGCACCTCGACCATTCCCACTGTCCTTGACGATGCGAATCCGTTTTGTCTCAACGCTCGTCTTCTACGTTGAGCTGTTCGCCGTCGACAGACAATGCCCAAGATGCTCGCGTTGAGCTCGTTGCTGCTGCTTCTCGGCGCAGCCGCCTCTTCGAGCGCTCTCACACCCGCCGACACCAAGCTCGTCAACATCCTCGGTGCCCAGGGCATCAACCTCCTGAAGCTCTCTCGCGCGCACACCCGCACCCACGCACGCCGCGACCAGGTTCCGCTCGCGGTTCAGCCTGCCGAATTCGAGCCGCATTGGTTCAGGCAGCCCTTGAACCACTTCTCCAACAACTCGGAGACGTGGCTGCAGCGGTACTGGATCAACACGCGTCACTATAAGCCGGGGACACACGCTCCCGTTATCGTTATTGACGGAGGCGAGACGAGCGGAGAGAACCGCTTGCCATTCCTCGACACTGGCATAGCGGACATCCTGCCCAAAGAGATTGGAGGGATTGGTGTCATTCTGGAACATAGGTACGCGACACGCCGAGTCATGCTACTTGTGATAGATGCTAACCTTAATACACGCGTAGGTACTATGGTACGTTGAATCTTGATACTGAAGGACGCGTTTTGAAACTGACAAACCGAAGGCGAATCTCTACCCGTTCAGAACTTTACTACCGACTCCCTTCGGTGCGCAGCTAAATTCGTTCAGGCCGCGTGCTTGCTCACAAGAACAAACAGGTTCCTTAACAACGACCAAGCGGCAGCAGACTCGGCCAACTTCATGGCGAACGTCAAGTTTCCTGGCGTAGACGAAGACATTACTTCACCAGGCAATCCCTGGATCTACTACGGAGTACGTCTATATGCATCTTATCTACAGTGAGGACCTACGCTCTGACTCTCCATACCTCAGGGCTCTTATGCAGGGGCCCGTTCAGCCCATATGAAGATGCTTTACCCAGAGCTCGTCTATGGCGCGATTGCCTCAAGCGGTATGCGCATGTTTTCTCCCTTCACACCTGCTCTTATGTTGCTTGTTCTTGGTAACTATCAGCCGTGACGCACGCAAGCCTCGAGAACTGGGAATACATGGAGATCGTCCGCGATGCTGCGGACCCGAAGTGCTCCCAGCACCTCGAGAACGCAATTGAGACCATCGACTCGATCCTCACGCGTGGCGATGACACGATCAGCAAGGTCATGAAGAACAGGCTTAAGGCGCTGTTCGGTCTGCAAGACTTGGAGCATGATGAGGATTTCGTCGCGCTGATTGAGGTAAGGACAGTTTGGCCATGAATCGACGAACCAATTGTGCTCACTCTCCCTGCTGCACAACAGTCGCCGCTTGGATACTGGCAAGCAAAGAACTGGGATCCTGCAGTCGGGAGCACAAAGTTCGATGAGTTTTGCAAATCTCTTGACAAGCCTATCGTGCCCCACGTGACATTCCGCAATCTACTCGCAATCAACGAGACTCTCCACTTTAACGAGACCGAACAAATTGTAACCTTTCAGGAAGGGTTTCAGGTCGCCTTCGCGATGCTTAACTATGCGGAGTATATCAGAACTGCGAGCATCATTTTATGATATCTCTTTGATTATGAGACTAACGCCCGTATGAGCAGAATTTTGTCTCGCTTTGCCCTGTTGAAGCTGGCGCAACGATTGAAGAGGTGGGTCGATCAAATTGTACGCATGGTTTTCCATGGTTAAACGCGTTTAATAGTGCTTTGGCACGTATGACAACTCGGCATATGAAGGAACATCGCTGGAGGATACCTGGAGACTCTGGCTCTTTCAGGTCTGCACCGAGTGGGGGTACTTCTCTGTACGTTGTACGCTCAGCACTCGGGACGCCTCAAGCTAATCAAACTCGCTACAGACTGCGCCGCCAGTTGGCTACCCTCGCATCGTTTCAAGCTTGTTGACCCTGGAATATGAATCCAAAATTTGCGAACAGGCGTTCCGCCCTGGCAAGCACTTCCACGTGCCCAAGTTGCCGAATATCACAGTCGTGAATGTGCTCGGCGACTTTGGCATTGCAGATGATAGGCTTGCGTTCATCGACGGCGATGGTGTGCTCCGACTTATGCCTCACCTAGAGATATTGCTGAGACGTGATACGAACAGTTGACCCTTGGAAGCCCTGCACTCCGCACAGCATGTATGCTGCCCCGCGCAAAGATACTATCCTCCGTCCCTTCAAGCTCATACCCGGTGAGCCCCGATTCTCGTCTTTATCGCTTCGTCCCTCCTGATTGTAATCGAATTTGCCACAGAGGGCGTGCATCATTACGACGAGAATGGCCTGCAGCACCGCGAAGATGAGCCGCTGCACATCCAAAAGATTCATCGCGAAATTGTGGAATTTGTGAAGGCCTGGCTCAAGGACTGGAAGCCGCCCAAGAAGGACTGACATACTCACAAACTGCTATGTCCGGATGTATAGCGTTGGCAATCACAGGAACAATTGAGTTTGAGTTGACCCGAGACCAGGAACACCGCGTGTTTAGATTCGTTCGAAGAGCAAAGCATTTACACAACATGAAGAAAAGGGTCGTGATCATACTGTGGGCCTTAACTACTAACGCGGCACTGGTATTGCATTCAATTTTGAATCTCGGCGACTGACCACGGACCACAGCCACCGATGACTAAGTCTAGCCAGTCATCCTTCGCCTCCTCTAGCGTATACACCTTGCTATCTGGTAAGACAAACAGCCTGCCATCACCTGTTCCTCTTTCATTGTCACTAGCAATCAAGTCCAGCCCGCCTATCATCCAGCCATGGAGAACATCGCCCGTACCACCCCATGCATCACCGTCCAGGAGGCGAGGTTGAACAATCACGTCCTTCAGGTGTTGAAGCGCAGCGGCGACGTCCTGGGCTCTCTCCTCCTCCTTTGATCCTGTTCCAAACACCCTTTCTCTCGGATCGTAGTCCCAGGGCGGACTCGCGGGAACGGGGACCTTCAGCAGCACCCGCAACAAGGGCGGCAAACTTTCGTCTTGCGAGACGCCCGTCATCCTGAGGTGCGTGATAGACGGGAAAGACGACGCTATCGATTCCCAGAAGCTGAGGCCGTTAACGTTCAGCAGCGACGATGCGTGGAGTCGGCGGAGGGCTGGGAACGCGCGAGGGATTGATGGCCTCAGTAGCATCTCGAAGGGAAGTCCGAGGCTTCGGAGGACGGGGAAGGTAATGCGTTCGCAGACGGCGGCGAGAGCTCCGTCTGCACGCCAGGCGTCATGTATGACAAGTGTCTGGATGGTTGGTGCCAGTCGTATGAGGGTTGTCATCAGGAGCTCTCTCATTGTATCCAGTCTCTTCCGAGATACCTCCCGGGTCAAGATCGTTACCGAGACAAAGAGGTGGTAGATGTTGGCCGGGGAAGGGATCGTGTTTTGGATGAGGCGAGCGAACGAGATGAGGCTCTGCTCGCTGATGATGGCGATGGACTGGTAGCGGAAACGTTTGGTAGCGTCTCGCACGTAGCGCGACACCAGAGAGAGCGAGCAGCCCGTCTTCCCGCCATCAGTGCAGGCCAAGCTCGCGAACCTGAGCCATAGCTCTACCGGACAGTGATCCATCACAGTGGGTGTTGATGGAACCTAAGGTGTTAGTCACATATGTGCATTATCCTTATATATGCTATGAGATCACTGAGCGCTGACCCTGTACGTGGAAATGTCGGACCCGTGGGCATCGTGAGAGAAAGATCATGACGCGTTGGACAGCTCTTCCGGCGGATTTTATGTTGCCTGTGGAAAGTGACGTTGGTGCTGCGTGAACAGATTGTTACAGTAAGCTTGTTCAGATGGTTATGTTGGGCTACCGGAAGCTCGCATTCAAGATACTTCCTTATCATGACCAGTTATGATTCTCTATGGTGCAAATATTTTACCCGATATTTCGGTCAGCAGAAGTATACAAGCAATGATTTAACTTATCTAGCTCGCGAATGTAAACTGTTCATAAAGTGCTACGCCAGCCAGCTGTTGCCCAGCAAGAGTCCCCGTGATTTGTCCAATCCATCGCGTCGATTCACCCTGCGTAGTGAGAATTATGTCTCCGTTCAGCGCCTGTGCATCTAGCGTCCCTTGCCCCGGAATATCGAGGCTAACTGTGAAACCGTCCGGAAGACCCGTCTGTGTCGTCGGTGGGTACGTGTCGTCTCCGCCTACCGGGCGCACCCGCAGCCCAGAGCACGTCGCGGCGACGATCTGCCCATTCTGGGAGACGTACGCGCTGACGCCCTCTGCTCCGTCCGTGCCGACAAAGTCGAACCAGACGACAGAGTACTCGCCGAGGCGAGCATGACCCCAGTACCACGAGTTTAGAAGGGTATCCCACGGCTTGTCACCCCAGTTCTGTCGAACGGTAGGTCAGAAGACGTTATTATTAAAGGCACAATACGCTAACCTTGTCGTGATAGCCAATACCCCCTGTGAACGAGACCGCCTCTCCGTTGGCATTCAAGTTGACTGTGGCGTCGGCATCTGGGACGGCGTTCGCCCATCCAAGACCGGGTGCCAATTCGAACGACTGCCCTGAGGGATTGCTCGCCGGCCCACAGGGGTAGTGTGCGAGGGCAATCTGCAACAGCAGAGACGTTAGACAACGATACAGCATTCGTTAAGGAGTGACATACTGATGAGAAGGACATGGTCCCGGTTATGCCAGCATCTGGCGCGTTGAAGGTAATCATGTATTGAGACATGTCCGACGAGCCTGTCCAACTGGCTTCGCTGCCGTCGAGTGTCCCAGAGCTCCCGTCGCCCACTGTCGTGACCGTCAAGCTGTCTGCTCCGATAGCCGTCACGAACGAGTTGTTTGGTGTTGTAATGAAGACCTCGACATAGTCTGCAGTGCCGAGGTCGGCTGCACCGGGAAAGAGGGCTCCGGGGTCAGCAGTAAAGAAGACCGCAACAACAGAGTAAGACAGGTCTGACGAGACGGCGTCGAAGTACCAGAGGTCGAAGGTGGTGCTGTTCAAGTTGGTGATCTTTGGCCCGTCAAAGCCTGAGCTGGATGCGGCGAACTGCACCGTGCTCGCGGTATTCGACGTCTGTCCGGAGACGATGATCGTCGAGTCGCGCTTGGCGACGGCAGCAAGACAGCATAGTGCAAGAGATGCGATGGGCAGGAACCCCTTCAGGAACGAATGCATGCCTGGCACGGTCTGGCTGGCCTGTGGACGTTCGGAGAGTCAGCCGTTCACTTTATACTTCTCCGTTAAATTAATATATCTACATTTCCATCTCAAATTGCCGAAGGCAGCGAATCGGGACCCATTTAGACCCTGACGGCTGTGCACGACCCTGTGAAGTTCTCGGCCAAGCTTCGGACGCGCGCCGCGCATTGGTCGTGGGTCGCGTTCTATCACGTGGTCCACAGCACTACAAGCGCTGCCTTTTCTTCTCGGCTCTCACACGTTGAACGTTGAACTCTGTTGCTAACGTCGACGTGGAGGCTGCTCCCTACGGGCGTAAAAAAGTCACTTTACCGACAAAATGTCTGCTACAGCGGGAAATGTGGAATGGTTCACTACCGTCTCAGCATATTCGCTGGGTTTTGTTAGTGGCATTGGAGTCATTGCCTATCTTTCGGCGAAGGCGTTCCTGCCAAAGAGGGCGACCTCCACGGACCGTTTCACATGGATCTGGCTCGTAAGCCATTGTCCTGCGCTTTTGGCCATTGCGGGTTCTAACATTGGTAGCAGACCTTTGACGCTTTAGTCCACTTTTCTTTCGAAGCCGTCTTCCTCTATTACTCGGTTTTCGGCAAGCAGATTGCCACCAGCGATGGCATTCTTCCCGAGATGGGTGCGAGCAGCATGTTTGATCGGAGGAACTGTTTGCTCAGTCTGCTTGGCAGTCAGGGAATACGCACGGGCTGACTTGCGTTGGGCCGTTGCTGATCCCACCGTGTAAGTCGCGCCTTGTTCGCGTCGAGCCACCGTGCCTGATGGTATGCTGCAGCGTCTCCCTGGAAATTCTCACCGTACTCGGTGCGGGACCCATGGCCGTGTACATCCTGAAGCAGCTCGCTGCGGATGATCTTGCTCGGCACTATTGGATTGTTGTGTTGTGCACAGCTGAACTCTACGGAGGGTAAGCCTTGTTCTCTCAATAGATTTGCCGGCCCGCTGATAGACTTCCAGATGGATGACATTCTGCCCTGAATGGCTAACGGGCAGCCCCAGCCTCGTTACCTCGAACCCGCTCTATCTATGGGTGTACCTCACGGTGCGTGCGCCCCTTGTGCCTAACCGTACGCTTTCCAATTAACAAGCTGATCCGCCTCCTATCCGTGTCTCCAGTTCATGAACGTGATGTAAGAGTCCCGTCATCGCTTGTTTTGTAGAATGCTGATGAATCCATCTGTAGCTGGGTCGTCATCCCACTTGGCCTCATGGTCGACTCGTATAAACACATTGCGGGCGCCCTTCGGACTGCCCAGGCCGTCAAACGGTCTGTCAAGTCAGAGTAAACCAACTCACCGCCTACTCGGCGCGCCGTGCTTGCTTCTCGACAGACTCGACACAATCATCATTTCACCGCGCCTAAGTATCTCCTGACCATGTTGACTGAGCAGATAATTGATCACAGCTCCCGAGAGCTCGAGTATGAGGCCCTTCGGGAGTCGATAAATAGCCACCTAGTGATGGAACATTTTGCAGCAATCTCGCGTATCAGAGTTTGAATTGAAGTCTACTAGTGCTGCGCCGGGTCCGCGCTTCTGTGCTGCCGCCGGATACACCTAAATAAAACATGATTTTCTCCGTTTGCTACCGTTCTCTACCGTTCTCGCGGGCCAGGCCACACTTAACTAACGACCAATATATCTGCGGTAAGTGCATAGAGGTCTGAGAGCGTCATCATTTTCCCTACCTTTTTTGTTGCTAATATTGAAGCGAAGGGGAGAGTTCAAGCTAAGCTTAGGACGCCGACCGCGCCACCGTCATTTCCGAATTGAATAGAGAGAATCCGTCGGCTAACTTGTCGCTAGCCGTCTTGCAAATCGCGCTGGACTCTCGAATTGCTTATCCAGACAGAAAGAGCGGAAAATGATTTAAAATTGTTACGACGTCCGCAGGCCCTGCCGCGGCGGCTCATCCTGATCAGTAGCCCCTTAAAGCAAGCCGATAGAAGAGCTTGTCCATAGGTATCACTGCAACTATTCAACTGGTTTGGCCTGAAAAATTTCCAGTGATGAACCTGCGAAAGATTAAAAATCTCGGCGACTGTGCTTGTAGTTCTCCCGGAATGGCGTTCGCGGGATCTGTCATGTAGGGAGTAGTCGACGCGGCCAAAGATCTCTTGAAAAGGGTCACGACGTTCATAGTAGCGCGAGACTAATTGGAAGCAGATGTATGCCTTGGAGCGGCGCAAGGAGTCTATGGTTCAACGGAATCCTTATCTACTACTCATCCTCCCCAGTGCACGCGATAACCGGCGGAGAACTTCGGGTGAGCGATGCTGTGCGTTCTACAGAAGTGCGCCTGAAGGATCGGATTCGCAGCTGGCTTGCTATCGGTGCAAGGCTGTCAAGTATTGTCTACCTGAGAGGCTCAAACTATGGCCCCATCGCAAAGCTTCTCGTCGCAAAACAACTCAATTTGAAGGAGCTCGATCCCGGCACACAAGCAAGCGCTCAGCTGAAATATTCTTCAATAGATAGTCGGTTACATAGCAGATACAGTGATCTGCCGGTGCACAACGCTGGGTTCGAGACCAGTCACGGGTCACGGATCACCTGAGCGTTATGAAAATCAGTGTGACAATGCTACGCGGCAGCGCGCGACGCGACTTGAACTCGTCCTCTGTCCTTGTGACTGCCACTAATTCTTTGGCATTATCTTCGATCTCTGAATGGTTATCACTCGAACCAAACCAGGAGCAAATTATGATCAAATATTGCTGGATGATACGAGAGAGGAACGGGATCGCATCGTACCTATTGTGAAAGCCAGAACGGGACCAGGCTTAGGATTTCGCATCAAAGGCACGACCGGTATCGAGCCGATATGCACATTCATTGCATCTCAGAGGTATGTCACGCACTTTGTAGCGGTATCCAACTCATGCCCTGTGCAGGCTTGGCAACAACGACTTTAGCGAAGAAGCCGCGCGCAAGGCATCCTGTCTTCAGCCCAAGATCTTCAAGGAGACTCTGCAGACCATTCAGCTTGTGCTTACCTCGTATGAAGAGGAGAAACTCCGGGAGCAAGAGATATCTTATGATGCCCTCGTGACGCAACACAAGTTCAACCGTGGAGAGTTTATGGTCTCGTGTATGCGAAGAGCGGAGCGGGTGCTCTCTCAGAGCGGGAAGCTGGGGAGGAATTTAGTACTTCCGAACGACATGATTACTGTCGCCGTCTTTGTCTGGGTGTGTCGGCTACTCAAGGTGCGTATCAGGTCTCTGTCACCCTTCATCCTTCAATACGCACTCACTATCACTATAGAGACAGCGCAAAGTCAATCAGAATGCACTTATGGAGCAGTACGACATAGACCAAGACGAGATCTTTGAGATCTTTGAAGCATTAGAGAAATCGTGTCAGCGGCTCGCACAAGATATTGCTGCAGAAGTCCAGGCAATGAGAGATGGCCCAGCTGCTGACTCCGGAGCAATCAGTCCTGCCAAGCGATCCATCTCGCGCTCGCCCCATAAGCCCCTGCTGCGTAATCACTCTGCTACACCAGCCCAGACGCCCACTCAGAAGCGCAAGGCCAGGTTCGCAGCAGAGCAGCCGGAAGATGACGCGATGTTGGTCGATGAGACTCCGCTGAAGAAGCCACGGACGTCTCCTCGCAAATCGAAAGGTGATTTCGATCGGAACGCCTTCTCCGCATTTCAAGCTGCTCTTCGTACCCCCGGTCGTCCCGAGGGAGGCCTATCATCAACACTGCAAGCGTCATCGTCGCAGCTTACCCTGGACCTGCTCAATAGCGCCGCCGACGGAGGCAGCGATGAAGAAGCTGCCAGGACAGAAGATGACGCTCTGTCTGAACTCGTCGGCGTCTCAACGACGGATGTCGAGATGACAAATGGTGCCGAAACCGACGGGCCTTCAGCGGCCTCCGCGCGTTTCGCACCTATGACTCCCCGCCGCGTAGAACGTATACCCCGCCCTGTATTCCACGGCCATCCACAGACTCCTACGACACCACGCACGATGACTGCGGCCCCTCCGGGGAGGGCGTCACCGAAAAAGATGAAAGCGCATGAATACACCAAAGAAGAAGAACCACCAAGGAGGCATCGCCCAATTCTGCTCGGCCATTGGCAATGGTTCCGTCCAGATGCCAGAGCCGTGCTTACTGGGGCTTAGAAGATACGCTGACCATGGACCCGTGGAGGACTCGTTTTGGATAGCACGGTTCAAGCATTGCACTTTGGACAATATAGTGTAGATTCACGCCCTTCGCTCAGGTTTGCTTCCGTTCTCCACTCGAGCTCGTACGTAAGCGCTAGCTTGCCAAGATCGCGTTTCCATCCCGCCACCATGTCGATGAATGCCCCTGCAAGCACAGACGACCATGAGAGCGAGAAATTGCCTAATCTCAGAAAGATATATCTGCCTTTGGAAAGCCTATCGAGCGGCTGTGCTGTCCGCGCACAAGGACGAGACTGCTCATCTGAGAGGCGACTCTGTTCCCGATGTGGCGAGGTACGTCATGCTTCATCCCAGTTATGGCCGTGATGCGTCTCTGCTCTCCTCAGCGCATATATTGCTCGGAAAGATGTCAGTACCAAGACTGGCCGGAACATTAGCTAAGCTGCGGTAAGAATTTTTTCATACTCGACGGCTATGGCTGAGTCCCAAGCGCACTTTGCGCTTTAAAAAATAGGCAAGACCGAGCGAATTAGCTTGGAGTCCTTTTACCCCTTACTCGCAGCTATGGCAGATGCAGCACACGCGTATCTTCCTGTGCACTTCGCTTTGAGGTCTCGCGTGGTCAGCCCCATCAACATCCCGCCTGTTGTTACCCAATTGCCGGGCGGTATTTCCGCACAACTGCTTGAAGTCGACGATACTTCTCAAACAGATCCTACGGAACCCACGGAATGGGCTTCGCAAGCGTCGTCCTTAGCCGTTACCGCGAAGGCGTACCACCGCGTATATCGCGAGGGGCATCTTTTGTCTATCGTGACCGGACTCTGTGCGGCGCTCCTCTCAGAGATATACACCACGACATCGGGCTACTGTTCTCCGGATGTGCGCAAGCGGCTCAAGTATCGTTCATCTCCGCTCTCAGATTTCGACGTCGTCAGGGGCTCTGTGGTCGTGGACGCCTGCGATCGGTTCGCGTACAAGCGCCGCTCAGACGGATCTTACGTGCTCGGGCAAGACCCTGGCGAGCATTAATGGCTGTACTTCACCACAGCACGGGGCGAGGACGTCTATCTCGACGTCGGACTTTACACGTTCAACTTCTGCTCGATGGTCTCAAGTGCACCGTATGTGCCGCCCGGCTGGAGAGACATTGTGTTGGACACGGTCCCGGTCTTCTTCGTTGACCGCGAGTTCCGCGATGCGTCAGCGCCGCTACGTACCGAACACAAGCGCACTTCGGCACTGCGCGACTCTAGACCTCACCAGGTCGCGCTCGCCGCTGTTGACGGCCTGTGTATGGAGGAGCTCGAGCTCGTGGCGGGGTTCATAGAGACTGTTTCTGGACGAAGGATTCCGCAAGAAGAGGTGGGCGCAGCATGCACGGTGTTGATGGAAGCTTGCGAGATACTGCAATATGTCCTCGAGCATCGGCTATGGCGGGAGTACCCTAATACACCTGACAGATATCTCCACACTGATCCCGGGGAGTGGGACGGCTGGGAGGAAATTCCCGTGCCGAAGCGGAAGAAGAAGCGAAACAAGAGAGATCCTCGTCCTGGAGGAACCCCGTAATATCAAGAAGCTGTACGGCATCTGTACATTCTGCGATCTGAAAACTCTACTATACCACAATGTAGGCTTGATCAGAAGCAACGAAAGTGGTGGCCTGCGCATGCAGTTAGCCAACTGTGGCCGTCATCGGGAGTAATGCGTCCTTTTTCTTTTTAGCTGACAGTAGGGACACCTGTGGTATCAGCGCCAGCGAGCGCGCCACAGAGCTGGCGCAATGATGCCAGTCGCTCTCTCAGCCCGAGACCACCAGCCGTGCTAACAGAGAACTATCAACGCTCGTACGTTGAATGAACTGTAGTGCAAACAAGTGTTGTACATCTTGGACACGATTATGCGATAGTACTAGTACACATGGGTTAATTGATCACGGACCATTTTATCGAGCGAGCTGCGACTTCAGGCACCTCCGCGGCGAGGCTTCAGCTTCTTGATGATACTGTTGGACGCACGGATGGCGTAGCAGATAGAGGTCAAGGTCGGATTGGCTGCGAAGCCGGTTTCGATGACGCCGTTGCCTGAGACAGCATGAGTAACGGCCTCGAGCAGTGACGGCATTTGACGTACCGCCAACATAGAGATTGTGGAAGTGGTGGGATTTGCAGTGAGTGTCGGCCACAGTCTTCTTGGTGTCGAGCCTGCGCAGGCATCCTGCCGTCAGCTGGGGCCAAACAGTTTGGAGGTCATTACCACGCACCCTGCACGGACAGTCCCTGCGAGCCTGTTGCCGAGTGTCTACCTCTATAGGCTTCGTCTCATCTGGCCTGCTGCTTTCACAGGTCATCATTCAGGGCGACAACGCTCAGCAGTCTGTTTGGTCCCTTATCCCTGCAAACTAATGAGAAAGCTCCAATAGCTAGTTGTACCGGAAACATGGAGCCGCTGTACAATAGTCTGCCTGTGTCAGGCTCTTATCGTTGCTGCTACTCGAAGCCTGATGGGCTGCCCATGACTACTGGCAAAACATGACTCCCCTTCTGCAGCATTACAGCTGTTCAAGCACAAGGAGTGTTGGCGAATCAAGCCGCGCAGTGGTGACCGAAGGATGTGGGAAAGCTGTCTTATGTGATCATACTCACCCATATTGGGACCTAACGGATTGTAAAGCGATCCACAAACTCGTGCAGTCGCGGATGTCCTCAAGACGACAGTAGGGAGGCGTATAAAACAAGATTGATATTAGTATGTACTTTTTTCGTGTTTGCTAATGTTAGTGAGGCTGTGCACAGTTTGGCCTCACCCTGAATCACAAGCAAGTCCAAATGCAAACTGTCCTCGCAGAGTTGCCTCGAGCCGTCATTGGAAACATGTAGCAGCAAATCAAACGAGAACGCTTCGCAATGTCCATCAGAGACTTTCAAGGGGAAGTGAATCCAAAATCACTTAGGATCAAGAAAACATCACTGGAGCATGATTTCAATCCCGCTTGCCTCGACGCTTGCGAGGGCAGGTTATCTTTGTGGTTGGACGTTGTCTATTACACTCTTGTCAAAACGATATCCTGTTCAGCATCTTCAAACGTCGCTTTGAAACATTTCGATGGTGATTTCGCTCCTCCTTAAGGACCACTGAAACGACACTGGCGGTCCTCTCGGCACTACACCGTTTAAAAATGTGGACTTGCGGCTATTTTTCCTGTTCCTGCTGCTTCCACATCCTGTTGTTGCCTGTCAGCTAGTACACGATCTGGCACGCCACCACAACGCGCTCAAGATCAGATCTTGGTGCTCACACGCCCCTCTCGTCTTGAAGTAATTCCACACAACGATGGCAAGTAAACTCGCAGATATTCAAGACATCGTCGACAAGACCTTTGATTACGTTGTCGTCGGTTAGCAGCGAATACTCTGACATCATCTACGACAGCCGCTTACTGCTGATCGCTCAGGTGGCGGTGTGTGTCTCTTACTGAAAGTGTCACGGCTCGTGTCTCAACAAGTCTCACAGACTGCAGGCTGTGTCGTAGCAAGTCGCCTGGCTGAAGACCCGGATGTCACTGTCGCCGTCCTTGAAGCGGGCCCGCCGCAATTCGGCGACTCAATTATAGAAGACCCTGCTGCGTTTATGAAGCTCATGCTGGATCCCAAATATGATCATATGTATACTACTACCCCGCAGCTCCGGGCAGGAGATCAGCCAGTGTTATGGTCACGGTAAGCACATGGCTTATGAGTAATCATGAATATAGTACCCATCCTCGTGACTCAGTGGCCGAGGTCTAGGCGGGTCATCTCTGATCAACTGGATGGTATGGACCATCCCTCCACGCCAGGACATCGACAGTACGCTCCTCTGTCCGCGCTATACAGCTGACCGCTTACTTTTCACAATCTTTGTCTTGCATGCATCGGCAAATTGGGGAATGAAGGGTGGACATGGGAGCGCTTTCACAAATACCAGAAGAAAGTACAGAAGTGCGCCGTGCTTTAAGCTGTCTACATAACGCGACACCCGCTGATCGTGCGATGTAGCTTCTTTCCCCCACCGAAGAATGAGCTTTCGGAGTTCGAAACCTTTCATGACTCCGAATCTGTCGGTTATGACGGTATGGGCGTTACAGTGTGTTGTTGTGGCAGGGCTGAGTAGCAACAGGGCCCGTACCGCTCATCTTCTCTCGTGACAGTTCTGGTGCGGAAGCCCTCTGGCAAAAGGTAAGAATGGTTTATCCCTGATCTTGGTATTGAATTGATTTGTTGCAGAGCTTGGCGAAATACGGTGTTGAGGTCAATACTGCAAACGTGAGTGAACCTATAGTATCTCCTCAATCATATATCTGAAGGTCGGGATAGTTAGACGGAAATGTTAGCGCCTCTGATTTGTACCATTCTTCCTTGTTTAACGACGCTTTCAGGCCACAGGTACCTTCAAGACCGTCTCTAATATTAACCCAGAGACCCGCCAGCGCGCTCACTCTGCTACGGTGAGTGCGAAGCTCATTGTCTTCCGCCCAAGCTCATACCAACGACATGCCAGACCTACCTTATTCCCGCACTGACAGGCCAAACCTCGCAGTGCTCACTGATGCGTACGTTTACAAAATCGTAACCGATAGGAGTGATGGAGATGTCGCTGCATCTGGCGTCGAATTTGAGCACGGCGGACGTGTTTACACCGTTTTTGTCAAGGAGGTTGTGCTATCTGCCGGGTACGTCTCCCAGCAAGCTCTACAGCAGAATCGCGATGAACTGAAAATATTATTCAAGGGCGATCAAGTCACCTCATATCCTGGAACTCAGCGGAATCGGCGACCGTAAGATCCTGGAACCACTCGGGATCGAGGTCAAAATCGATTTACCCGGCGTCGGGGCCAACGTTCAGGATCATGTCTCGATGGGATTTAACAGATGGAGTAGATTCTTCCGATGTTGTTCAGTCGAACGTTACTGAGACTAACACGTCAGAGTTGAAAGAGGACCAGAATATCGTCACCAGCGGTATGCTTCAAGACCCAGCTCAGGCAGAGAAGCTGCGTATAGCCCTGTGAGCCTTGTTATATACCCAATGCCACATAGTCTGATGTCAAACAAATGTCAGCGGACTTCCGGATGCAGT